GACTGAGTGAATGAGTGTGTGTGAGTGAGTGTGTGTGTGAGTGAGTGTGTGTGAGTGAGTGAGTGTGTGAGAGTGAGTGAGTGTGTGAGTGAGTGAGTGAGTGTGTGTGAGTGAGTGAGTGTGTGAGAGTGAGTGAGTGTGTGAGAGTGAGTGAGTGTGTGAGTGAGTGAGTGAGTGTGAGTGAGTGTGTGAGTGTGTGTGTGAGTGTGTGTGTGAGTGTGTGTGTGAGTGTGTGTGTGAGTGAGTGAGTGAGTGAGTGAGTGAGTGAGTGAGTGAGTGTGTGAGTGAGTGTGTGTGTGAGTGAGACTGAGTGAATGAGTGTGTGAGTGAGTGTGTGAGTGTGTGAGTGAGTGAGTGAGTGAGTGAGTGTGTGAGTGTGAGTGAGTGTGTGAGTGTGAGAGTGAGTGAGTGCGTGAGTGAGTGAGTGTGAGTGAGTGTGTAAGTGAGTGAGTGTGTGAGTGAGTGTGTAAGTGAGTGAGTGAGTGTGTGTGTGTGAGTGAGAGTGAGTGAGTGAATGCGTGTGAGTGAGTGAGACTCAGTGAATGAGTGTGTGTGAGTGAGTGAATGAGTGAGAGTGAGTGTGAGTGAGTGAGTGAGTGAGACTGAGTGAATGAGTGAGTGTGTGAGTGAGTGAGACTGAGTGAATGAGTGAGTGTGTGAGTGAGTGAGACTGAGTGAATGAGTGAGAGTGTGTGTGAGTGAGTGAGTGTGTGAGTGAGAGTGTGTGTGAGTGAGTGAGTGTGTGTGTGTGTGTGTGTGAGTGACAGTTTGTGAGTGAGTGTGAGTGTGTGTGTGTGAGTGAGTGAGTGAGTGTGAGTGAGACTGAGTGAATGAGTGTGTGTGAGTGAGTGTGAGTGAGACTGAGTGAATGAGTGTGTGTGTGTGAGTGAGTGTGAGGGAGTGAGTGTGAGTGAGTGTGAGTGAGTAAGTGTGTGTGAGTGAGTGAGACTGAGTGGTGAGTGAGTGGGTGAGTGAGTGGGTGAGTGAGTGAATAAACACAATGCAGATGCAGTACAATGTGGCAAAATGTGAAAGGGTACACCTTGGTGTGAGAAACAGAGAGGTGTATAATTGTGAAAGGTGTATAATGCTGAATGCCAATTCCACCATACGCTGTAGCAGGATTCAAACCCTGGTCCCCAGAACATTACGTGGGTCTCAGGAATAATAGTCCAGTGATAATACCACTAGGCCACTGCCGCTCCCATTTGAGCTGAGAAGTACAGCTGTCTTACTGCAGTTACACAGAGCCTTGGTAAAACTGCACTTGAGTGCTGTGTGCTGTTCAGGTCTCTCTATCTAAGTGAGGATATACTTGTTATCAAAGGAGTGCAGCAGAGGTCCACTCAGCTGATAACCGGGAATTGTAGGACTGTCCCGGTTCGATGGGCCTGTATTCACTGGAGTTTAAAGTGAATGAGAGGGGATCTGACCAAAATGTATGAAATTCTAACAGGGCTGGACAGACGAGATGTAGGGAGAGTATTTCCACCCAGATGGCAGGGTGTAGAACCAGGGAGACAGGTTCATGACATGGGGTAGACAATTTAAGACTGAGATGAGGAAACATTTCTTCACTTTGAGGGGAATGAGCCTGCAAAATTCTCTAAAACAGAAGACTGTGAAGCCCAGTCTGAATATATTCAAGAAAGGTGATAAATATTTAGATAAATATCAAGGGGTATGGGGAGAAACTGTGAATATAGAATTGAGATAAAGGATCAGCCATGATCTTATTGAATGGTAGAGCAGGCTCAAAGGGCTGAATGGCCTCTTTCTGCTCCTAGTCTCTGTGGCCATCAAGCTCAGAGCCACAGATTGATCTTTGCTCAGGCACAGTGTTGAGAAGCCTGGATTTACAGCTAAGCACTGAGACCTGGATTAGTTGGGAGCTCCCTATTTAGGAGGCTGACCCGAGGCTGGAGTGTTTGCCCTATTCCTCAGGGTTGTGGGTGGGGAGAGGAACAGATTTATGGTCTCTCAGGGAAGTGAAGATAGAGGGAGTGGGTGGGAAAGTGGAGGTGAAACACAAGGTCAGCCATCATTGCATTGGGTAGCAGGGCAGGCTTGAGGGGCCGAATGGTCTCTGTATGTTCTTGTTTCTCATTTCCCCTGGGTGTACCTCTCTCTAGGCTCTGCAGTAGTTTCTCGTAGTGCTGAGTTGTCAGTTTGTATTCCCTCTCCAACTGAATTCGGTCATCTGCTCCAAACATTTGTGAATCTTGACTTTGCCTCATGAACTCCTGATAGTGCCGCTCCAGGTTTGAGAGAATCTGTTTATAATCTTCGGGGTTCAAACTCCGGAACTGAAAAACAACGGAGAGTGTGACAGAGCAAGGGACAAGTACAGACAGGAAGCAGCAAGGGATCAAGGAGTGAGGGATTGAGGGGTGTGGGGGTGAGGGATTGAGGGGCGTGGGAGTGAGGAGGGAGGAACTGAAAGGTGTGAAGGATTGGGGTGAGAGACTGAGGTGTGAGGGATTGAGTGGTGTGGGGGTGGGGGATTGAGGGGTGTGGGAGTGAGGGATTGAGGGGTGTGGGAGTGAGGAGGGAGGAACTGAAAGGTGTGAAGGATTGGGGTGAGAGACTGAGGTGTGAGGGATTGAG